CTATCAACTTACTCCTCAGCTGAGGTCTGAGGTATTCATAAAAACAGCAGTACTGGGGGAGGAAGAGGTAGGATGACAGAAGGTGGAAGAGGAATCAGGTAGTAGATAATCCAGTTTCATGGCATGAGTAGAAATGTATTGTAGTTAGAGAAATACTGCTGGGGCCAGAAGACATCATGTATAGGGCCATGTGTAGGCTACATAGCTTAATTTCTAGGTACTCTGAAATCTCACAAAATCTGTTCCCACCTTATCCCACAACGATTGGTATAAGCCTCTCCTTCCCTCTTACGCCTCTATATTCCAACACGTGGAACACTAATTAAGCCTAGGATTTTATGCTTTGCATAATATGGTAAAATTTCTTCCTATTCACTCCTCTGCAGCTCTGAAAACATGGAGAATGAATCATCGGTTATTTTTATATTGGTAAAAGGAAGAGTTGCCTTGAGAACTTTTTTTACATAATTATTGAAAAGCATGCTTACTTTTAACAGTACTGCGATATCATCATTGTAAACTGCAAGCCCTCCAAAGCTCTTCATCTTTATAAAGTTCTTGCCTATATCTCTGTAAATGAGCACATCTTATGCAGTAGGCACTTAATAAACATTTATTAAGCTAAATTGAAATTCTCCAAAGGGGATCAACCAATGCATTTGGAAGATTTCCACTTTTTTTTTTCCAATATTTCAGGCTGCCAATGTAGCACTCAAGATGTTTATCTCAGTTCACATGGCATCTTTTATATCACTTCTTGTACACAAATAAGAATTGGTATAAATGTTGCATTCTGAGCTGAAAAATATAGTAATATATAGTAATATATATATATAATATATATATATATATATATATATATATATATATATATATAGTATTTCATACAGCAACATGGTAAGTGCTTTACAATTATTGTCTCATTTGCTCCTCACCATAAACCTGAAGTTAGGTGAGGGGAGGTATTCTTATTATCCCTATTTTACAGTTTAGGAAACTGAGGCAGACAAAGATTCAGTGACTTGCCCATAGCTAGCTAGAAAGACATAGCTAGTAAGTGTCTGAGGCCATATTAGAACTCAGGCCACCTGACTCTAGACCTAGCATGTTATCTTCTGTGCCACCTATGTTCCCATTGAAATTTAGAGGACCCAACTGGCCAGTTCCAGTTGGGAAGCTCAGTCCTTCCTTCTTTCCTTCCTTCCTCTTTCTTCCTTCTTTCTTTCCTTCTTTCTCTCCCTCCTTCTCTTCTTTCCTCCCCTCTCCCCCTTTACTACCTCTCTCCACATAGGGAATCATACTCTTACCTATGGGTGCTCTGCCCAAAGGAATATAAATTTTGATTGCTGAAACCTCACAAAATATCTTGGAGTTTACTGGCTAGATTTCTTTTAAAGACCTGCCTTAAACCCAAATCACTCTGGGTGTCATGGATTGGTCAACAAAAGGGCCCAGGCCAAGTCTCACTTGGCTATCATTTGTTTGATGGCTCAGAGTGAGTATAAATAACAATTGTTTGCTTTGGCCAGAAACCCTGAGGGCTTTCCCCTCCTGGATTGATTTTTTTTTTTTTTGATTAGGTGAAAGAGGCCATTCTTTGCTTCTTGTCTACCTGGCCTTAATCACTGAATAAATACTGCCTCAGTCAAACTGATACCTGGGAAAGACCTTAGTTTAAAAAGGCCAAGGCCTCTCACTGTAGCTGGGGACATCTGCAGTCATCCTGATCTATATCTTGCCACTGGACCCAGATGATTATAGAGAAGAGAGAGAGACTGGTGAGCTTGCACAGACGTCCCTCACTTAAATCCAATTCACTTGGAAGTCATGACATCTCCTTCCTGTCATGGTCTTCTTTGAGAACAAAGGACAAACAACGATAACAATTTGATATTTCAGTTTGTCAGTCATTAAGTTCCTACTCTATGCTAGGCACTGTGTGAAGCACCGGGTATACAAAAAGAGGCAAAAGTCAGTCCCTGACCTCAAGGAGCTCATAATCTAACAGGGAATGCAGCAAGTAAGCAAATATGTCTAAACCATATACAGGAAAATTAGAAATAATCAAAAAAGGGAAGGCACTAGAATTAAATGTGGTTGGGAAAGATTTCCTTTAGAAGATGGGATTTTAGCTGGCACTTGAAGAACGACAGAGAAGCCAACAGGTACAGCTGAGGAGGGAGGGTATTCTAGGCATGCAGGACAACTAAAGAAAACGCCTGGAGCCGAGAGATGGAATGTCTTATTGGAAGAATACCAAGGAGGTCAGTATCACTCTATTTGTTGAACAAACTTCACATATTAAAAACATCAATAGTTACATTAAGATTTGTTGGTAACTTAAAAAATCTTATATTCTCAGCATTTTTCCTCCTTTTCTTCTTTTATTGTGAAATTAAAAACAAACATTTTAATATACAAAGAAGAGGATTTCATAAGAAGTTGAACTAATGCAAATATGATGAACTACATGTGTATCTGAGATTGAACAAGATAGTAATAGAATTACTTTGGGTTTTCTTTTACAATTCTTATTGTTCCTTCTGCTTATTTTTAATATTTTGTTGATGATTTTGGGCAAAATTTTCACAACCTCCTAACATAGTACTACCTCTTTCTGAACAGAAGCCTATTTTATAATGATGATGATGATGATGAAAATGATGATAGCTAACATTTACAAAGCACTTTATGATTTGTGAAGTACTTAACCTAAGTTATTGGGGCTTCACAGTAACCCTTCCATGCTATTATTATACCCATTTTATAGATGAGGAAACTGAGACTGAGAGAAGTTAAATGACTTGTCCAGGGTCACACAGATAAAAATTATATGAGGCAGAATTGAAACTCAATCTTTCTGGCTTCAAATCCAGCCCTTTATCCACTGTACCACTTAAACCCAATTCACTATGGATCTCATGGATTGGACAATAGGTCTCTGCCCAAGGACCATTTAATGTTTTGTTGGGGTTTTTTTGGGGGGTGCCCTCTCAGCTCAGAGTGAATGTAAATAGTAACTGTTTCTCTTTCAGCCAGCAACTCTGAGGTCTTCCCTTCCCAATTTGATTTTTTTTTTTAATTAAAGTGGCTGTCCCCAGACTCACTTCTTAAAGAGGCCTATTCACTGAATGGGCTTTGCCTCACTCAAAGTGAGAACCTGAAAAGACATTAGCTTATAAAAGCCAAGGTCTCCCAATGCATCCTGGGCCATCTCCAGTCCTCCTAATCAACATCTGGCCACTGGACCCAGGTGCCTCTGAAGGAGAAAGTGAAGCTGGAGACTTTGCACAGCCCTCCCTCACTCAAATCAAAGTTAATTGCAAGTCATGTCATCATCTCCCTGACGTCATGGTCCTTTCTGTGAAAAAGGACAAACCACAACCACAACCACAAGCCTTAAATATTGATTTAAAGATTTAAACTCAAGAAGAAAAAAAAATGAAAATACTGGCTATTTCTTAAAATTAATATCTAGTCTATTGCATTCTTGCCAAAATGTGGAAGTTAGGTTTTCAAAGCATATCTATCACTTCCCTGCCAAGAGGTAGGAGATATGCTTTCAAAGTATTGTCCCTTTCCCACTATTTTGTCACATTAGAGATGCAAATGGAGTGTGTGGGGCAGCAGAAGATTAAGGATCATTTTTATATATAAACTCTTTCACAGTTCACTACCCTACCTATGCACTCCTAAAATCAGTATCTTATGACCAGCTTTCTTGTGGATAAAAAATTCTCTATACTTAGCTAAACTGCTCCTCAGATAGCATATTCAGTCTCCCACTGCAGTGCAATTTGAAGTCTTTCGAGCTTGGTAGAACCCACCAGAACTTTTGCTATCTTATGATATTGTGGATCCCCACAATATCATAAGAAAAAATTGGGATAATACTTTAGAGAAGGGATCTCTCTCTCTCTTTCTCTGTGTGTGTGTGTGTGTGTGTATACACACACACACACACACACACACACACACACACACACATATATATATATATATATATATATATATATATATATATATATATATACATAGTCAAAAATCTGTGCTGGAAAATCAATTATGATTTAGGCCCAAATTCTACCTGTATCTCTTCTCCCCTCTTTCTCCCAGGAAAATAATTTCCCTTACAAGGAGATTCTCCTATTAAGGAGGCTTACAAGTAATGTTAGACATAGACTAGCGTAGATGTTTAAGTTCATTATTTACTGTGGTTAGTCTCATAGTTCTATGAATAACTTCTGGTTATCTATTACTGTTGGGGGTATGATGTTTCAATTTAATGAATTATCCCTACCCAAGGTTCTTGTTACATCTTATTCTATCATGGTGGAAATAGACTTGGCCACTATGATAAGATAATTCACATTTATTCCACCCACATAATCTCTGTGAGGCATCTTCTACATTTGGAGTGGAAGAACCAATATCAGTGGCCTTTTTTCCCTTAAAAACATTCTGGTCTTTTTGTTGTTACCAACTAGAAAATGAAATTGCAAGCTACCTGGAAAGTTCTCAGAATAATATGCAATGATTCTGATTAACAGGAAATTTCTGCCTTGTTCTTTCATCCCTCTACACTAGTAGAAAATATAAATATATCAAAATGACCTTTAGAAATAATCATTATAATGAAACCAACCTGAATTCCTTTTAAAAACATGTCTCAGATTTCAGGAAATGTATGTTTGGGAAGTGATCGAATTAATTTACCTATGGCATTCTGCCCAACTGCTTTCCCTTCAAGTACTTAACTAGAAATAGGACCAACTCTGATGTTAGACAATTTGGTGTTTATTGGTTCAGAAATCAGGACCTCTTACAATACTGAAGATATGCATTAATTCATGTAGCATATGAAAGTATTGAATTGCATATAAGCCAGATATTAAAAGATTTGGAGTTTTTTTAATTTTTAAAAATTACCAAGAGAATGTGGAAATACCAAGTACTATTAGAGAAACTCAATTTTTACATGTGTTCTTGTCACCTGGAAGGGGGAGATGGAGCAACAAGAAAAGAGGAGTTTCATACAGTCAAAGTATCACAGATCATTGGAGCGGAAAGAAACTTGAAGGGGAAACTCAAGTCCAAGGTCCTCCAATAAGACAAAAAACAATTCCACAAGCAAATATTTGTTGAATTGATTACTTGCTATGTGCAAAGCACTATGAGGGTATTGGGGACAAAGACAAAACAAAAATATTCCCTGGCCCCAAGGAGCTTATGTTCTATGTAATTTGAAGAAGGCGAGAGGACTGACAGCTCTGGAGATCAGAAAATACTTCCCCAACAATTGCACGTTTTGAGGTAGGTCCTAAAGTAATTTAAGGACTCTTAAGAAGCATAAGTGAAAAGGAAATATTTTTCTCTGCTTGTGGGACAGCATTTGTAAAGCCAAGAAAAGCATGAGATAAACTGCTGGGTACGCAGAACAGCAAGCAAGAGAGTCTGGCTGGAGCATCAAGTGAATAAGGGGAAAATACTCTGAAATGTCTAAAAAAGTTAGACTGGAGCCAAAATCATCGATGCTAAGCTGAGAAATCAGTACTTTCTTTATCTTAAGGGTGATAGGGAGGTACTAGAGATTCATAAGTTGGAGAATGAAAATATCAGACTTATGCTTTGAGAAGCACTTCCAAACTTTCTTTTCAATCTCGTTTCTAACTCCAAAGCCCAGCACTAAACAGTACATTCCATATATACTCTGCCCAGGTCATGTTTCAATAGAACTAATAACTCCTAATTCCTAGAACTTTTATATCTCTCAAAGAAGCCCCAGATTGCATTAGCTTTTGGGATTGTTACATCAATCTTTGCTCTGAAATATCTTTGCATGTAACCGAAGTCCACATTAACCCCCACCCTCAGCCCCAATAAATACCAAACTTCCTTCCTCACTTTGTTTTCACAGTTTAATTTGTTACTTTGGAAATGGGATGGAAGAGCAAACATTCTTTTCTTTTTCTTTTTCTTTTTGTTTTTTGCTCTTTGCTGAGGCAATAAGGATTAAGTGACTAGCCCAGGGTCACACACACCTAGTAAGTGTCAAATGTCTGAGGCTGGATTTGTACTCAGGTCCTCCTGACTCTAAGGGCAGAACTCTATCCAATGTGCTACATAGCTTCCCCCATGAACAAACATTCTACAAACATCTTTATTTTGAAACCAGAATAACACATGCATTAAACACATATGCCATTTGGTAAATATTTGTAGAATGCATGAATGACTAGGCCTAGAAATAGCTAACCATAGGTCAATAGTTTTGAAACTCAGTGCAAATATTTCTATTTGGAAATATCATTAAAAATGATGCATGAGGGAGCAACTAGTTGGTGGTGCAGTGGATACAGCACCGGTCCTGGATTTAGGAAGACCTGAGTTCAAATATGGCTTCAGACACATAACACTTACTAGCTGTGTGACCCTGGGCAAGTCACTTAACCCCATTGCCTAGCCCCCCCCCAAAAAAAAATAAATGATGCAAGATATAATGAAGCAAATAGGCATTAAAAGTAAAAAGAGTCAATGGATTTGAAGCAATATACATAGCTATAGGAAATGAGATCCTTTTCTTTCCCCATTACCCTTACCTCATAAATTTTCTTTTCTTTGCCTAAATATGTAATCTTTTGGTGTAGCTATTAGGGCTGAGTTTACCCAGTCTCCAGGAGCAAGTTTTAGGAGAGGAACTTCGTCTGAAGCTTTGGAGGTAATGGCAGAGATTTTTCCTTGTTGTTAACATTAAAACATTAGTGTGTATCACACACTTCATCATTATCTGATGAAGAGAATAATGATCTTGGTCATAAGGTAGAAATTTTCCTGATCCTCTCATATAATTCCATCATTAGGGATACTAAGGTTATATAGATTAAGAAGCAATTTAAATTAAAAAGTGCCCTTGGGTTTGTAGTTTGTGACTTTTGGTTAGTCATATAAATACTTCTTACTAAACTCTCTAACTACAAATAGGGAAGAACAACAACGACAACTTAATTATAGGCACAGGATCAAAGTGAATACTTCCCAAGAGCTTCCTGTGCTGGAGGATGGCCCATGAAAGAGATGCAACCATTTCCCGGTGCCTCATTTTTTTTCTGGAAGCTCAGAATTTAAACTTAATGAACATCTAAATGAATATAGTTTTATCCTCCTTTCAGCCACAGATGCTTGGAAAACGTGAATTTCCTCATCCATAAAATGAGGGGGGAAGGACATGATTAGTAAGTCCCTTCTACTTTTATTACTCTACCATCAATATGTTCCTAAACTATGTTTCACTTTTCATTAGTTCATACAATAGATCTTTCCATGTCTCTCTGAATTACTTACTTATATAATAAACATTCACATCTGCTAATGATTTCTACATTTGTGATAATAAAAAGAATTTTTAAAAAATGTTCATGACATGCAGATGTGCCAGTGGTGTGGCAAGAAGAAATGATACATCGATCATTTGTGTTCTAATGGTATCATCATCATCATCATCATTATAATAATAATGCATAGCTATCATTTCTTCAAAAGAAGATCAAGAATATATTTGTCAAATGGGAGGATCTCTTCATTGTCAGCAAGCTTTGGTGCACATACAATGAGAAAAGCTTGGTTAAATTAGTCTTCCAAAAATTCTGAGTGACTTGAAGCTGGGTTACTTAAATCTCTACCTTATTAACTGGCCTAGAGGATTTAAGCCTGGGAAAGCTTCCCCCTCTCCTCCCACTGGGCAATGTGATTCACAGTAACACAAGCTTTTTGGATGCATGGACAGCCAAAAAAGAATTGGTAGATACACTAGAATCTGGTGCAGTGGTATGTTGGTAGAAGCCACTGGAATCACCAACTTCAAACACTTCCAGATTGAGAAGATTTTGACCAAGCTGGAGCTAAAGCACAAGCTGGCAGTTAACCATATAGAGTGCTATTCATATCTTATCCAGGCAAAGTTGATCAAGTATTGCCAGTCCAAAGACATTGTAGTGATAGACAACAATCTCCTTAGTTCTCTAGATTGGCCATGGGCCAATCCACAGCACTCTTTTCTCTTGAATAACCTTAGCATCCAGGCCATTGCAGCAAAGCACCAAAACAACCACAGCACAGATTCTGATTAGGTTCCACATCCAGAGAAAAGTAGCTATGATCCTTAAGTCAGTTACCCTATCACAGATTGCTGAGAACTTTAAAGTGTTTGATTTTGAGTTGACAGACAAGGAGATGTAGACTATACTCAGTTTCAAGTGTGACTATAGAGTCTGTGCCTTGGTCAATGCTGCTTCTCACAAAGATTACCCCTTTGATGCCCCATTTTGAAATTCTGGGTAGCTGCTACCCAGTATCCAGATGACAGTCTCCTGGTGCTTCTAGTGATGCTGACTTGGCCTGACAAGAGCACATCATTCTTTTGCATTGCATTGATTGACTTTGGCCTCTACTTCTAAGAACTGGATCAAAAACTGAATATCACTGTTGGGTCTCAGCTGGATCAAGTAATTCCCAGTTTTCTGGACCCTCATTTCTGCTCATATATGGCAGGATGACTACCCTTCCCCAAATGGGCCCTGAAAACAAGAATTATTCCACCAACAAATGGTTTTCTTTCTTTTAATAAGAAGTAGATTTCATCTGCTCGACATTATAAACTCTAACTTCTGGTTTTAAATTAAAAAAAATCTTTCATGTAAAAAATATAGTAACATATTTACAAAGTTAATGAACATTCAAAATTTGTCATTGGTTTGAAGCCAGATTTTCTTCTATCAGTTTTTTTTTTCAGACAATGTTTATGGACAAGTAGAAAACAGAGTCCTGGGGTATAATGAACAAGGGGCTTTTAAAAGATATTGTCATCTGACTCTCCCTCTTCCATAGTTATTTTCTAATGCTTATCTAATTCATAAGTAGCGGTCAAAGAACATAGCCTTCCTTCAGCATTTATGTGGAAATGCAATGAAAATTATCTCACCTCCGAAGCAATGCCATTTCGATTCAGCCTTCTCTCTTCATCCTTTATCTACCCCTAAATTGGTTCCATTTAAGTCCATTGCAAAATTCATAGCACCATCAGGTAAAGCTAGCCATAATGGAACACAAACATTGTTGCTGGGTCTAATTCTGCCTCCCTATGTTCTAGTCCCTCTGCTGTTCATTATCGCACTCCCCTACTTGTTTCTGTCACTGCCATCTGTTTCTGCTGCTCCCACTATTGCTTCCTCTCCTGCACATTTGATGCTCACCCAAAGGTAGTTGGGTACCTGATGCCTCTAATCTTCATCTTCAAAACATTACTCACTCCCTCACTTACTCTCAATAACCATGTTTGGTGCTTTCTGCCAAATGCTTTCATCCCAAAGAATTCTGAGAGGATTTTTAAAATAAATAAATAAAGCCTTGTCAAAAAGAAAAAGTAAGAAAAAAAAGTTGGGAGAAAAGGAGGAATAATCATCTATGCCAAATTATTTAAGAATTGTTTACACTCTTTCATAAAGAACTTTAGAGTCTTTTCCAGAATATCAGGAAGGAGTGTGTGTGTGTGTGTGTGTGTGTGTGTGTGTGTGTGTGTAGTCCAGATTCTCTTGTTAAGAGGATCATTTATTTCCTCTTCTTAATTGAATTATTAGCTAGGTTTTATTTTTTATTCACTCATCTATCTACATACTATTTGCTCATTTGTTCAGAAAGAATCACGCAACTGGTACCTGGGATAGGCAGTTGGGCACACTATTAAAACACCAGACTCCTCACACCTGTGATTTTTTTTTTATTGTGAAGACAGAAAGGAATAGGTTATAGGAGCAATAATTCAGAGGCAGGTACGATTCAAATGCATAAGCAAGTGATCAGAATTTGGGTTAGAATGTAATCTATGAAAGGCTGGGGGAGGCATTTTGAAAATATGGCTCTGTGTCTTTAAGTGTGAAATTGAATGTCAAAGCAAATTGAGCAAACAATTTCATCCTTTCTCTTTTTGTATTTGTCAACAGCCTGTTGCAGTCCACTCTGGTTAACTTCTCTGAATGTTATTCTGTGTTCTTTATACCTTTCTCCAAATCTAATCTCAATTTTCACTATTACTCTTCCCTTCCATTGAATACCAAGTTAACTCTTACCTGAAATTCTACCTCAGCCCAGAAAACAGAGACATTTTGAGGCCTACTTGATATAACATCCTCAAGGCAGCCTCTTTCTTTTAGAAGAAAGAGACCTGGGTGTGGAGCTAAAAGGTCTAGGATCTCTAGGATTCTGTTGGGTGGTCTTGCATCAAAGACTGAACTTCCTTGAGCCTGAATTTTCTC